TCCCATGTTTTAAGTTAGTTCATGTTTTCTTAATTTATTGTCCTGACAGGGTGTTGCCAGGAATTGCCAGTTGCTGCATACTGCCGAGTTTCCAGAGCAGAGGAATGAGTTACTCACAGCCTCCCTACCTGTGGGCTCTGCTGCAGTCCACACTGCCCCATCCACGCAGCCTCCCAGCTTTCTAGCAGTGTTTCTGCCCCAAAAGGGCCATTCTTACTTTTCCACAGGTGCTCTCTGCGTTGCCAAGATCCGGCATTTGTGCAGGGCAGCCCTTTAACCAGTGCTGTGCTGCACAAGAAAACCGTTTCCTGGGTGCGGGTATGAGCAACACAGGCTTCTCTCCTGCACTTTACCAACAGCTTGTTCCCACTAGAATGCTATTCTAGCCTCTGGCCTTTCCTCCAGAAACAGCGAGCAGTTTGTCAGTACAGAGCTGGCTCCGAGATGCCTGAGACACACGGCACTGTCGGTGCTTCCCACAGACCCACCCTCCCTTGCCCACTGCAGCAGAGTCCTCCTCTGCCTCTCCATAGCCCATAATCACCAAGCACTATTGCCAGCATCTGAATTGCAAGTTTACGATCCACCTAAATTGCTGTGCGCTCCCCACAGATCTCATTCAGCATTTCCACCGTCACCCTCTCACTGGGTATCTGTTTCAGATTAATTGCCAAAGATGGGGCAGCCTGCATTTGTCTGCATTGTTTCCTGCCCAAGCTGCTAACCTCAATACCATTTTTTGAAAAGGAGTGCATTGGCAGACCATCAGAAAGGAAAACTCCCTGACGGTGCAATTATAGTTTAATGTGTAATAGCCATCTGAGAGACGCTGGGAAAGCCCAGGCATTTTGGGTGTGTGAAATGAAACTTGCTGCTACACATGGAAAAAAATGAAAAACCCACCAGAGGGGACTTTGCAACAGCCAGAGGTGAACAGATTCTGTGTGAACCAGTAGCTCATGTCCATCTCCATCATTGATGCCACGGGCAGGGAAGGCTCACAGAGAGAAATGTAGGCCAGTGCAGGAGAGGTGGGGACACCTGTGGTAGGGGGAGCCCTTCGTCTTGGCAATGGGCTGAGTGAGAAAATAACACCAACTTGCCCTGATCTTCGGTTCAGTGACATTGATGGAGGGATTAATTCAAACTGATTGACCACAACTTTAGACTTCACGTTGCTGTCACATATGATTAAAGCTGATCAAATTGCTCACTGCAGATAAATCCCCCGACAAGCGCAGCCCCGTTATCTGTCCCCGAATTATCAGCCGGTAGCCTGTCTACTTATGAGCGGGCTTGCTGTTCGAGCGGCTGTGACAAGCAGTTTGTGTGGAGGCATTTTAACATATGGCTTAGTTGGGACCCTTTTGCTGAAAATATCCTACTCCTCACTCAGGATTTATATTATGCCACTGGTCATGTAAGTCATCCTGTGTCGCTTCCAGTTAGGCACCATGCTTCGTGCACCGGAGAAGCATCCTCTCCTCATCGCGAATTATTTGCAATCAGACTGAATTGTTCCATGAGCCTATTACACAACTGATAGGGCTCTTCAACGTGGCTTTGAGAATAACATCAGCCTGAGCGTCCTGTTATATTTATTCACATTACTCTAAAGGATAGCTTGCTTTCGTGAACATCTTTTTTTTCCAACAGAGTGTTTGGGAATAAAATGGGTCACAATTGCTAAGGAACACAGGCTGCATGTTTTATTCACAAGCACATTTTGTGAACATTTATTGCTACATACACCCAGCTCTAGTGAAGATGGACATCCCTAGTTTTCCTTCTCATTTGTTTCTTATTTTTGTCTCAGTGTATTATCTGCAATATATTGACATTTTCAGCTGCCAGCTGGAGAAAAAAAGAAAAAACGAGTTTCTGGGAAACTATGCAAAAGAACAAGTTTTTTCCCTCCTAAACCTTTTCCATAAATTCAATTATATCACTCTCATCCACAACAGTCTAATGACCATTTACAGAGTCCATATCAGATGCAGCCACACAGTTTCTGCTGAGTGAAAATTTCTCTGGCAAACTGCCACTTCATTTACTGGTGAGTTGGTTTGCTCAGTGCATCTCAGCTTGAGAGATTTTCACCAGCTACCATGCAGGATTGCCAGGATGAATCCCTGGCCCAGTCACAGTACCCACCCCATCCTTGACTCTCAGGAGGGTACCAGGGACCCTCTTTTGTGCTATCAACCCTGGGAGCTCTCCCAGCCATTTGGCTTCCCTGAGCAGGTAGCAGCAGCTGGGGGTTTGTGGAAAATTTCTGTGCTGAGTTCTCACACTTCCAGGTTTCTGTCTTACCCAGCTCTCTTCTCTAAAGGCTGTTCTTTTCATCTTCCTCAGAAAGGTCAGTATGGAAAAGGAAAATTACTTTTTAAAAACAGCTCTAAGATAAAAATGAGTTGGCAAAATAAAAAGTCTCACATAAAAAAAAGAAAAAGAAAAAAAAAAAAGGAGGTGGAAGAGGGGGGAAAAAAAAGTCCCTTGTTTTCTACTTTATTACTCTGCCATCCAAACAGGCCACCCAGCATCTCCTTTCTACCAAGTGCAAGGGAAGAAGGCAGACTGGCAGTGCTCCCGACATTGAAAACACAACACACTCCTGCCACTCCTTCTGGATGAAGGTCTATGAGCATTATGGAAATCTTAATTTGTTAAGCAAGGCCCACAGCTCTTCTTTGAGGTACTGAATGATTATTGCCATTTTACAGGCAGGGGAACAAGAATGGAGCGAGTGAGGGTGTTTGTGCGAGATCCCAGATGTTCTCCATTACAAACCCTTGCACTTCCTGGCTGCAGCACGACCTGACTGAAGTGCTAAATAACATCCAGCATTTGTTCCTTTCATACGTCCACACCAACCAGTAGCAGGAAGCACAGTTGCAAACTCATGCAAACCTGGGAGGTCTGGGGAAGGGTTTGGGCTCACGAGCACATGTGCTCTGAGACCCAGAGAGCGGAAATGTTAACCTTCTGTGCGACAAGACACACCTCCTGCCAAGGGTAGGCGAGGGCATGACTGCTTCTAGCTAGCAGGAGTATTTGCTTTGCAAAGAAGCAGGTTTCTAAGCACCTTGCTTTACTCCCCTGGCTGCAGAAGGATGGGAGGAGAGGTGTGCAGGACACCGTCAGAAGAAGGGAGCAGCAGCAGCAGAAAGGCAAGACCACCATCCACGTGAAGCCACAAACAGCACTGGTGGCCTCCCCACAGCTTCCATGTGTGCTGTCTCGCACACTACATTCTCTACCACCCTTTCACCACAGGGTCCAAACAGCGTGTGAGCTTCCTTTACTACACTGACAGAATAGTTACTGCAGAGGTGAAAAGAGGCAAATATTTGCCTGACCAAAGCAAGGAGAGCACAGCCACAATGACAGGCACAGAGCACACTGTCCCAGACAGATATAGCAGTGAGTGATGAAGGTAGAAGAGTTATCCATGACAAAGTGAGGGATCACGCTTGGACCAGCACCACCACCCTTCTGGAGGGTGACATGCACATACAAGAGTCTGTACGTGGTCCTCCAACAAACCTGACCCCTGTTAAATTACCACAAAAGTCCCACTGAACCCCCCAATAAGCCAAGATTTATTTCCAAAGTTTCTCTACGCAGAAACATGACAATGCCTTACATTCTACCTGGTTCACTTGGAGGTATATTGGGGATTGGAGTAGATGGCTTCCAGAGGAGTCCCTTTCAGCCTAAATTAAGCTTTGATCCTGCAGTTCTCCAATTTTGAGGGAGATGTCTGAGCCAAAACAGCACTCAAGCGACAACACTGGTCTTCACCACATAATCGCTTTTATCCTCAGTGCATCTTTAAGGGAATTGTTCTTGGTTTCAGCTTGTAAAAACAACATCCCTGTGGAGACAGCTGCAGCTGTGTTAACATGGCTGGTCACCCAGAAGCTTCTAAAGGAAACCATTTCAACTCGCTTCACTAAGAGGATGCTTCCTCACCCTCTGCTCTGGGCCTCAGAGCCATGGCAGTGGTACGAAGGAGGGCTTTCAGTGTGTGAGCCAGATTACCTCACACATACACATGCAGAGCCCAACTGGATTTCATAAGGAGGCTAAAAAGCGATGGCCTCCCCATTAGCACCAACAAATCACCCTGCTTAACACAGGCGTTTCACAGTATCCGTAATCACATCCAGTCCAGACCCAGAGCACAGATTATGTTAGAAACAACCTTTTAAATCTGAATCACCTCAGGATGCAAGGGGTTGTACAGAAGAGATTTTCTCTCCTTGGGTAGCCTGAATGCTTTTCTGTTACACAGTGTCAGTCCAGAAGCAGAGGGAGGAGCTGTGCACTGGACAGCGTGTGCAGCTGCCCATTCGCTGGGTTTGTGCCTTTTGCAGTGCATGTAAAACTGCAGGTGACAGTAAGCTTGTGCAAAGACCCAGCTAATGCTTACAAACAGCAATATGCTGCACTATCAGCCTCCTGAGGCTATGGGGTTTTCAACATCCTTTCCCCAAGAACTGACATCTTTGGCTCTTTCAGCTCACCTTGGAGGTCACTCCTCAGAATGTGGCCAAGCACCATTCACCCACATCCAGCCCCAGCCACTCATCTCCTCAGCCACAGGACAAACAATGTGCTGCAGCCTTGGCTCGCCTTTCCCCTCCACATCATCTGGGCTAACCTCTTGCCTTCCCACGCAGAACAGCTGGCTCCATCCAAACTGACATGTTTCCTAAGGACCTTCTGGGGGCTGCACCAATTTTCCACTAACACTGCGTTTTGTTTATGCCCAGAGGTCTCCAGGTCAGGAGACTGCTGGGGGTGGGGAGCCACAGCCATTGCTTTACTGTACACATAGAAAGAACAGCAGAGCAAGACAAGCTAGAGATGCTCCCCCATCGTGGCAGCACCAGCTGCCATCCCCTGACAGAGCAGATGAGAGAGCTCACTGAGGAAAAGAACTGCTTACACAAAACCTGGCTCTGTTAGACATATATATAACTATTGTGACTCACCATAAGTTTGTGATGAAGAGATGAGAAGAGGGAAGCAAGTGGAAGCAGCACTGCTGTCACTGCTCTGAGGAGGCTGTCCTGAGGAGACCATGCAGGACGTGCAGTACATCTGCTGGACACTGCTTCCTACCTCATGCCTGTTTTGAACACAAAAGAATAACTAAGAAAGGGGAAAAAAAGCACAGAGCACATGCCCGATTTAGGACCCTAACCCCAGTGAGAGACTCAGCAGACTGAAACCAGTAGTGGAGGACTGGTATCAAGGGGGCTGCTGGCACAGCACTGCAGGGACAAGCTGTGTCTTTGAATGTATTTCACTCAAAGGTTTTTTTTCCCCGGTATGGGGAAAACTCATGGCAAAAATGTTGCTTAACACCCTCTGGGGCACTACAAATCCTGGCCATGCCTTCCCCAGAGGAGTCAGAGACATCCTCAAACTCAGTGCTCCCTTCCACACCACGTCACATCACACCACACCACACCACACCACACCACATCCCTTTCAGGTGAGTTGATATCCATTCATCCTGCTTCAGCACAGCATCCCATGACACATGGATACATTTAGGGTCAGTGAAGACAGAGAAGAGCACAAATGCTTTTGCTGCACATTGCCTGAGCATTAGGACAGGACAGCACCGGCATTCAGGTGTGCAAAGTCAAAAGCTGTTTTTCCACCAGGCAAACCACTTACCTCCTCACAGCCCTAGTCTCTCAGTCCGAGGTGATTCACTCTGAACAGCAGGAAGCTGTTACTTAAATGCAGAACACAGCTGGGGAAGCACCTGAAATCTGGCTGGGGCAGCACTTGAAATCTGGCTGGGGCTGAAGCCTTTGCCCCAGGGCTCAGGCCCTGCCCCTATGCAGAGGCTGACAGCTCTAGGCAGGAACAGCCCACTACTTGCAAAAGCCCCAGCAAGGCTGGTCCTCAAGAACCCCAGGCAAACCAGGCAGCAGTGAGGTTTAAAAAATCTCCCCAGGAATGTCTGAAATGCAGTGCTGAATGCTCAGCATGGGGGTGAGAGGAGACCCGCATGACCTCCCCTTCCCTGATGCTGCAGTGCAGCACAGCCTGGCCTTCTGCTCCCATTCCATCAGCTGGGACCCCCTACTGCAAGCTGTGCCCTCCCTAAAGCCTTAAACCTTTGCTGATGCCAGTAAAGAGCCACCCTGAGACCTTTGTCCTGACCACTCAAGCACCCACATCACTTGCTGCTATCATTTGTTGCACCCCAGTTTTCCACTGCTCCTTCAGCTCTGGCATAGGAGCAACCCAGCGCACCTGCCCAGCAACTGGGGCAGGAGCACCAGTCCAGTGCCTTGGCCCTACAGCACAGAGCATTCCACTGGAGGAAAATGTTTCATCAAAATGCTGCATTTTGTACCCTTAAAATGGGGTAGGGGGGCTCACTGAGGGAGCACACACAGAGCCCGGTTTAACAAGCCACACGTCGCCCCAGGAAAACGCCCCGGACTAATGTGATTTCGAGTGGCACATCTGCAGCACCTTGCAGCTCAGCTGACAGCCTGAACAAACAGGAGAGACAGGCATTAAGGAAAACAGAGTCAGAAACAAGTGGGGAAAGAAAGACCAGAGGAGCAGAGACAGCCTAACAACAAAGGCTTGTCTGTTCTGGAGAAAGGAAAGTAAGTGTGTGCATGTGTGCCTGTGCAAAGAAAACTAGTGTTTTTTTACTTGAAGTTGTATGGACTCTGTGGGAAAGGTGCCTGCATGCACACAGTCTGTAGTATGAATATATTACAGAACAGGCAGTGTCTTTGAGCTTAATCAGTGAAGATGTAGACATAAGTGTGAGTTATATGTGCGCTATCTGGGCACAGCTATAGAGCATGAAATGTTTATTGTGTCATGCACTGACTAAGAGAGGGGGTGCTCACTTGAGGAAGGGAGTTGCAGGGTAGTGATGCAATTAGGGCGTAAGTTTATTCAGCAAAGCCACACAGCAGAGCGTGTAAAAAGCATTTGTTGGTAGAGATTTCATGCTTGAATCTGCAAGAACCCATGAGAAGTGAGGAGGAAACAGCCCATGTTTGGGGGCTGGGGGTGAAAAGAGTCCAACTCTGCACACGAGAGAGAGGGACAGACCATGGCATGCTCACAGTCTCAGAAGGGAAGCAAGGCAGGGATGCTGCAGTGTGATTGCCTGTGTCAAAATTCACTCCAAACGAATGCCAGGAGCTTTTTAATCTGGCTGATATTGGTGTTGCAGTCAGCCACCCCTCAGTGCAGCTGGGCTCTGTAGGCTTTCTTAGGTCTGACACCTCTGATGGCTCAATGTTTTCAGCCTTCAGAAAACACAGATTTTCAGGGAGCAAGATTCAAGCATTAGCACAAAGAATGAGAGTCAGAGAATCATTTAGGTTGGAAAAGTCCTCTAAGCCCATCAAGTCCAACCCTTAACTCAGTGCTGCCAAGCCCACCACTAAACCGTGTCCCTAAGTGCCACATCTACACTACTTTTAAACACCAGGGATGATGATTCAACTACTTGCCTGGGTAGCCTATTCCAAAGAGGGCCAGGTTGTAGCAGTCTCTCAAAAACACATTCAAGCCCGGCACTGCTTTCAGCCTGATGTTCTTGCTTGCTGAGGTGGGGCGTTTTCCTCCTTCCTGCAAAGCCCTACAGAAATCTACACATTTCAGGAAGCTTTTCAGGGAAAAAACAAGGACGACAACAACAACAAACCAAAAAAACCCCACAAACACAAAAAACACCACACACAAAAAACCAACCAACCAAACAAACAAAAAACCAACAAACAAAAGCTCCCAAACAAAACCAAAACCAACCAACCAAAAAAAAAAAAAAAAGATCAGGTTTTGGCCCCTGAATTGCTGCGTGGTGACAATACACTTTCGTATGCCCGTGTGTTTTATACATGAGCACATTGCTGGGGGTGCACATGGGCATGTGCGTGGAGCGGGGCTTTGTGTTCTGCGAATTCCCAGGAAGATGAAAACGGCTTCCACGGTTCGTGCAAGAAAAACGTGGTTAGAGGAGGCGGGGAAAAAAAAAAAAAAAAAAAAAAGAGGAAAAAGGAGAGGCGAGAGCCCCACAACAGAAACAGACACGGCCGTGCACAGAACAGTTGTTTCCAGGTGCCCTCTTCTGGTTTTGCGGGAGTTTCTCCCCGGGACCGCTCCGCCCGCAGCCGGCACGGCTCGGGGCACCGGGGCAGCCCCGCCCCGGGCATCGGGCACCTCCTGGGAGCTGGAGCGCTGAAATGGGATGCTGGGAGGCCGACAGGGGCAGGGAGGGCTGGTGGGGCCCTCAGGGCTCTGACACGGTGTTTCTGGCTCGGTCCCGGCTGCCCTCTGGTGCGGCACAGTCACGTTTGGGCAGCTCTCGCTAAAAACAAGTCTTCGGAGAGCAAATACCCGGCACTGGGGAGGTCGCACCTCGAATCCTGTGTTCAGTTTTGGGCCCCTCGCTTCAAGAAAGACAGTGAGGTGATGGAGCGCCTTCAGAGAAGGGCAGAGGAGCTGGGGAAGGGTCTGGCGAACAGGTCTGAAGGAGAGGCTGAGGGAGCTGGGAAGGCTCAGCCTGAAGAAAAGGAGGCTCAGGGGTGACCCGATCACTGTCTACAACTCCCTGAAAGGAGGTTGTAGCCAGGCGGGCGTCGGCCTCTTCTGCCCAGGTAACAAGTGACAGGATGAGAGGAAGTGGCCTCAAGTTGTACCAGTGGAGATTTAGATTGGATATTAGACAAAATTTCCTCCCCAAAAGGATGGTCATGCATTGGAGTAGGCTGCCCAGGGAAGTGGTAGCGTCACCATCCCTGGAGGTATTTAAAAGATATGTAAATGTGGCTTTTAGGGACATGGTTTAGTGGTGGGTTTATGGTTGGACTCAATGATCTTAGAGGTCTTTCCCAACCTAAATGATTCTATGATTCTAAATGTGTTTGGGGCTTTTTTTTTTTTCTTTTTTTTCCCAACCCACACAAATACCCCCCAAAGGGATAGGGAAAGGGGAAAAAGGGAAAAAAGGGAAAAAAAAGGGACACGGAATAGATATACGCAATCAAACCCGAGAACTAGTAAAATAACTAGTAAAAGAAATCTCACCACATCCCTTAGAAAAGCAGGATTGGCAGACACGGTCAGCACTCTCCAATCCTCCACACGTCAGGCCAGCGGTTGCTGCAGGCCTCAGCCTTAGATAAGCGAGACCAACGCAAGGACCCACTGTTCCCAAACCTCGCCAGAAGAGAAGAGAGCAAAGGCCTGCAGCCCCATGTGTGGAAAAAGAATCTCACCAGGATCTTCCTCTACTCACCATCAGCTTGCACCACTGAGCTTCTGTAGCCACCATAGTTGACACCATGGGCTGGAACCAGGTAACAAGGAGTGATTTACACAGCAGAACAGAATAAGAGAAATAAAGTTAGGAGTTCTTTAGAAACTAAACACTTAAATGTATTTATGGAGATGTAACCTGCAGGTTAATGCACTTCCCAAAAAAGACGAGGACAGGGCAAGAAGGAAGGGTAGAGAAGAACATCACATGGGTTGTTCTATGATTCTATTTAAAATAGGGTTAGGAAATCCTTGCATCCTTAAAAACAAAACCGTGCCAGTGCTGCTCATTTGGGAGAGTGCTTTCGGTTCCTTGTTGCCCCCTGCCTGTCTGGCGCCCCTGTTGCAGTTCCTCCACCAGAATTAGCAGTATCAGATGATCCAGCACTCCTGCTGTGTGAGGAACAAGGAAGCACATACAGGACAAAACCACTAGAGGCTGGGAAAGACCTAAGATGAGCTACAAGGGCCTACTTTCACCTCTGCCCTTCCATTGCCATTGAACCCTGAACACATCCCAAATGCTGAGCCTCCAATATTGGTTTTTGTCTTTCAGAAAACAAGTTTTCTCAATGCACTCTCTGGGAAAATTAGAGGCAGCAGACAGTGAGGTTTGACACATGTTTTGGAAGTGGTAGGACACATCTGAGCAGCTGCAAGAGGAAACAAAACCTGATTCTGATTGTAGGCAAGATCACAAACAGAAAATAGCAACTTGTGTTGTGTTTCCAATACAAATAACAGAAATCAAGTGTTTAAGAGAAGTTTCTAGTATTGACCACTCGTATCTTCTTGGGGGCAAAACAAGGTCTAAATT